TTAATTTATGATGCATTCTGGGAGCCTCACTTTTGTGCACAACATTTCCGTTTCCGGCTCCTTTGTTTGAATTTTGACATCAATTCTCATATTTGCTCGCTATAAAAAAATGGTCCAGCAATTCAAGGGGGGTGGTCGCTCAAGTCGCATGCGCATGTGTGCACGTGTATGCGCGCGTGTATGTGTGAGTGTGTATGCGTGTTGGTGTGTATGTTTGTGCGCGCCTAAGTGTCTGTGTGTGCGTGCGTATGTGTGTGTTGTATATAAAAAACAAAATGCCACGCCAGAAAAGGTCTTATATTTAGAACCCAGCATCAGATTGTGCTGCTAATAGCACGCCTAATATCTGATAAAAATATTAATTCCCTAAAATTATACTCCTAAATTAGAGAGAATATAATCAGCTGAGAAATGTGAAGCAGGAAAACTATCCGCACGCGTCTCTTTAATAATGCTAGATGATTTTGGCTTCCTTACATTCGAATTGCCGCAAATAGTACGTTTTATACGTTTCTGTGCCGTACCCGCTAGTCGGCGCTAGTGACTATAAGTTGAAATTTCGTATGATAGCAGCATCTATACTACCAAGCCTATACTCATAATATATCAACTTATATATATATACTATATTATAGTTTTAATAAAATATTAATTCTAATAAACGATAGAGGTTATCTAAATGTAGCAATATTGTGTCTTTTTGTATTAGGATGTTATTCTTTGTTCGCATTCATGGCATATGTTACTGTTATCATCATTGATCTACTAATTTATTCTTTTCGTGTCAGCAATTATGATATTGATAATTATAATGATTTGATCCTATCAGATGCTGTGTTACGTTTATGTCATAATAATATGTTGATTTTTTTTGCAGTCGAAACAATTACCTTCATCCTATTTTCTGACACGACTCGTATTACTTTTGCTTTCATATGTCATTTTAATATTATGTCTTGTCATAATGTTTCTAATATTATATCTCGTCATATTATGGTAATGATTTTTATATTCATATACGCGATTCTATCACATTTCGCACATCTGTGATTTTTTTGGCATCCATAAACTGTAACTAATATCCTAGTTATGCCTATATTTCTTTGTTATCATGTCAGATGTTGTGCTCAAGATTTCTCTATTTCTGATCTTATTATAATGGTAGCGTGATTATACTATCGCGATAGAATAATTTTAGCATAATTCAATCCTATTTCTTACATTTATCCTAAGTTGTACAATAATCTTTCTTTCGCATTCATATGACAATATTTCTACCCTAATTGTAGAATTCTATTAGAGTTAATTCTGCTCTCGTATCTTGTTACTCCTAATGATACATTATATTATGTATTAGATTTGCACCGGAATGTTATATTAACAAATACGTGTATATGCCGTTACGTTAGACCTACGTGCGACAACGCGCACTGCATTTACAATATTTGTACTAAGATATCACGTTAACTATTTCCACTACATAATATACAGTTACTATTACGTACGTTATATGCTCGAATCCAACCTCCAAACCGTATCGGACTGTTACGGTAATGATTTAATCATTTGGATCCGCTTATAAGAGTATCAATGTTGTAGCAGCATTTTATTCTACTGGTGCTAGGATATGTCATATTATTGATCTCGTAAAGTATTGCTAATACATATTCGCTACAATTCTATTAAGTTGCTTTTACCGATATTTTAAAGAAGTATCTTACGCCAATTATTTTTGCACGTCTATATCCTGTAAATAATATAATAATTGTGCGGGCCTTCTTCATTCTGACAAAAAATTGTATGTCTCTGCATAGAATTTCCCAATTATTTAATCAGTCTCAGTTTATATACATTTCATCCTAATTGCATTAGAATGCTGTGTTGTTAATTAACTGTCTGCGTGTTAGCTTTATGTATTATTCTCCTATTCTAGACATACGGACTAATGTCCGATAATATGATGAAAGCTTCTGTATAATATAGACTGCTTTCAGTGACACAGCTGATGTGCTCAGACAGTGGCAGCACATCATCATCATGTCTTAATTGTACTTCGTTAATTGTACTTTGTTTATCTGTAATGCCCTGCTTTGAAACATATATTTGTATATATATATATCGGGAGGGGAGGCAGCTGAGGTGTGGGGAGGAAAGGAAGAGAGAGGGGGTAAAGGGAAGTATATATTTCACAGATGCTGTGATGTAGAGGCGAACGAGAGTAAGGAAGGTGGATGAGATGGGATGAGGAGTAGACAGTGAATATAGAGATGCTTTCATAGCTACCATGTCTATGACTTTACTAATATCTCTACGTTACGTATTGTTATTTAGTAATGTAAAATAATAAATCTGCTATAATAAATATTATACAGTGTATGTGTGAAATATACATGTAAATTAGAGAGCACGTAAAAACTAGTTAAAGAATAGAGAGTGCATCTTGGCGTATGCGGAGGAAGAGGAGAAGGATTGAGAGGCAAAGGATGTAAAGATGAGGGAGAACAATGTGCGGCAAAGAGATGGAGGACGTGGGTATATGAGGAGGAGGAGGAGGAGGAGGAGGAGGAGGATAGGGTAGGATGTAGGTAGACACAGATTTTATTAAAAGCATTGGGTCGTCTTAATTCCTAATTTCCGTACAATCGGTCTGTTGCGTGCATCCTCTGGTGTGCATCTTTCCTGGTATTTTTAATCCGGAATCTGCCAAATACTACGTACGTATATATAATGTGCAAACGCTAGTGTCAAGGCTCACTGTTATGTGAATATGCACTTAAGATTTTACATACGTAAGCATGCATGTCTTAATGATGTCCGCATCTTTATTACGTAACATTTCGTTATAATTTAGCTTATTTACGTAATCGTATTTGTATTGAAATCTTATTCCAATTTCCCCGATATTTTATCTCAACTGCCCTAACAAGAGTTGGGGTCAATGGAAAAAAGACATTTATATAATACTTCAATTGAAGCTTGGAACTCCCTACCACTTCACATTAGATCTGCAGCCAGATATATTAGTTTCAAAGGGCAAGTAAAAAAACACTTTATGGAAAAGGTTAAGACAATGGAAGACAGTGACTTTATATTTTACTAATCTCGTATAAATGAATAGATTATCACTTTGCCAGCACAGGCTATACTGAAGTTTTTTTCTTGTATCTATTTTTTTCTCATGTTGTATATGCACTGCTTTGTACTGTATCACTCAAAAATTACCATTTTAACTGCCCAACACTATTGCACTTTTCAATACGTTTATATCTATAAAAATGTGAGTGTGTGCGAAATATGTTATTATCTACTCTTGATATAATGGTGTACGAACCGAGTGTTGAAATGATGTGCTAAAAGCGTACTACTTGTACAAAATTTGATGAAGTTTTTTTTTGTATTTAGTTTTTCTTCATGTTATTCTGCACTGCTTTGTACTGTATTCACTCAGGAAACATCATTTCTACCTGCTAAACATTTACCGTAATCACTTTACTTGAACAGAATATGCTGAAGTTTTTTTCTCGTTTATATTTTTTCTTCGTGGTATATAGCACTGTTTTGTATTGTATCACTCAGAAAGCTTCTATTTTTTATCATTTTTTATTTTTTATTTAACTGCTCAACACTTACCTTAATCACTTTACTTGTACAGAATATGCTGAAGTTTTTTTTTGTATATAGTTTTTTTTCATGCTGTATTTCAATGTTTTGTATTGTATCACAGTATCACTCAGAAATTTTGGGGATCGTGGGTATATTTGCTATAGTTTATAGTATGTACAATGTTATGTTGGACCACAATGGAAATAAGTGTGTTATAGCCACGCTTTTTGTGTTTTCATCCTCGATAATTTTCTAGCTGCATTTTGTTTATTTATGCTGTTATCGATGTAATGTATGCTTTGTAAATTATCGAAATAAACAAATTAAAAAAAACAAAAAGAATAAAAAAAACAATTTATCGTAGTTTTACTCGAATGTCAGCATAATTATATATGCTTTCATGGTCTGTTACTATAGCCTCGTCTACACGACGACGCTTAACTCGAGTTAAGCTAACTCGAGTTAAGCGTTAACTCGAGTTAGCGATTATGTAGCGTCTACACGACAACATCCGATAGCGATTATTAGCGATTGTATTATGCATGCGTGCGTATGTAAACGTGCGTGCGGTGTAATACGCGCGTGATGGTGCCGTGCTCGTGTCCTGTGTGCACGTAACGTGCGTGCGTGTGTGCGCGGTGTGACGTAGACGTGGCGTGCGTAGTGGTGCACGTACATCGGTGTCGGTGGCATGCTGGTGCCGTGCGTCTGTCGGCGCTAGACGTGTGCGTGTGCTTTAGATGACGTGTTGCTGCTCAGCGTATCACGTGCGTGCTATGCGTGCCTCGTGCGTGCGTGTGTCGTACACGTGCGTGCATGGTGTGGTCGCGTGAGTGGTGCACGCTTACACTGGTGCGTCGTGCGTGTGTACGCGTAACGTGCGGGTATGAGTGTCCGGTGGTTCGGTGGCGTGTGTGACGTATTTTACGTGGGCCGTCTGGTGCGTGCGTGCGTCGTGTACGTACACCATCACGTGTGCGTGGCATACGTGGCGATGGTGGTGTTGACCGATTACACGTGCATTGATTGTGCCACGTGCGTGGTATGGGTGTGTCGGCCGTTGAGTGAACGTGCGTGTGCATGTACACGTGCGCGGCATGCGTTGGAGTGCGTGCGTGTCACGAAGCGCCTGGCGGTGGCACGTACATGTGCGTGGCATAGCGTGCATTGTGCACGTGTGCGTTGCGTGCAGTGCGTGTGCACGATACACGTGCGGTGCATGCGTGTGCTGTGCCCGTACACGTGCGTGCGTGCCGCGCGTGTGCCGGGGACACGTGTCGTGGCCGTGCGTGTTGTGAGTGCCCACCGTACGGCGACGTGCGTGCCATGCTGTTCGTGCGTTGACGTCGTGTGTTGTGCCACCGTAAGTGCGTCGCGGGTAGTAGATGTGCAGAACGTAGGACGTGCGGCGCGCGGTGCAAGTGCGTCACGTGCACGTGTCTGTCAGAGTGCTGCGATGAGATGTGTGGCGATGCGTGTGTGCGACGTAACACGTGGCGTGCGTGTGTACGTACACGTGCGTGCGGTGCGAGTGCGGTGCGTGGGAACTGTACACGTGCGCGTGGGATGGGTTGTGGCGTGTTGGCCGTCCGTGTTGGCACGTACGTGCGCTTGCTGTGGTTGTGTGCGGCGGCCTGTGCAGCGTACAAGTTCGTAGTGCGTCTGAGTAACGCGGTGTGGTCGTGTGTAGGTCACGTGTGTGCCGTGCGTGCGTTGGCTGTGTGTGTGCATCGTGCGTGTAGAGTAGCGTGCGTGCGTGCTTAGTGCGTGCGGTCTGAGTTCGGAAGTGCGGACGGTGCCGTGGCTGCGTGCCGTCGACGTCGGGTGCAAAGGCTACACGTCGCCGCCGCTCATGCTTTGCGTGCTGCACCGGATCACACGTTGCAGTAGCATGCGTGCGTCGTGCACGTACCCGTGCGTGCTGCGTGTGTGTTGGCACCGTCACGTGCATGGCATGAGTGTGTGCGTGCGTGTGCAGGAAGTACACATGCGTGCGGTGCGTGCGTGTGTAGCTACATAACGTTACTAGGTGGTGTTGCGCTATACGTGGAGTTATTGTACTATTCGCTAACTCGAGTTAATGCGTCTACACGGGGCCTAACTCGAGTTAAGGCCGTGCTTAGACGGCTTACTCGGTTAAGTTCGTCGTGTAGACGAGGCTTATGTATTTTAGGCATTTAGTGTTACTACATACTGCAATCATATTTGTAGCAGCTAGAATGTTATTACTATTGTAAGCAGCCTTAGAATGTGCTATACTATTTGTGAGCGAAGTCTGATGTCAGTATATACTATTGTGTAG